AGCAGAAAATATGCACTGATCTGGATAATTTAGACCCCCAAAAGCCCCCTTTATCTTGAATTACTCAAATGAGCGCTGGACTGAACTAATTCACATCTAATTCGGCATTATATGTGCTCAGGGGTCCAAAAAAATGCTTTTTTGATAAACAGGCCCTTCCTAACAGACTCCACTCCAGCAGAGACCAGTGACAAAAAAGGAGCCTTTTCACGCCTGGCTGGAGGGTTAACAACTGAGAAAAGAGTGCTTACAAGAAAGAAGTCCTGACACAAAATTTACAAACACCTTAAAAACAACCAAAACACCAAACCAACACACAAATTAGCAGGTCACATCCCCAGTACTGATGGCTGTTCCAGTTTTTACCGCTGTCATTTGTTAGCCGTCTGAGCCCACAAAGCAGAGTGATGTAACTAAAAACAGAGCCATGGACTTGGTTGGGCTTGGGTTTGAATTGTAGATATGCCACTTCCTGACATGGGACAAATGCCCTCTTCTGTATAACTCATGTGACAGGTGTGTTACGAGAGCATTAGAGATGATGGACACAGAAGCCCTGGCAGCTGGTGGCACTCAGCAAATGGTACCTGCTACTTCTGTACTCACGAGTCCATGTTTTTTCCGGAGCAAGAATTAATATTTTGAAAAGTTGGTTAATTGGCAAATTGCAAATCCTAGGCCAAGGAGTCTCCTCATCTAAGAACCATTTGTTAAATGCGGAGGAGTGGGCCCCACCGCTAGATTCTTACTCAGTGGGTGTGCCCATGAACCTGCATTTGAGTAAATACCTCAGGTGATTTCGATACCAGGAATTCATTTTGAGAAGTGCCTCAGCACGTTAAGAAAATCCAGTTGTAATGGATGAGCCAAAGGCGCACATTTGGGTCCCTTTTGTGAATAATGGGAGAAAGGGTCTGAAGTGTCCTGTCTTCCAAGAGACAAGGGAGGCGAACAGGATCTGACAGGGTTTGTCCTGTTGGTCTGGTTGTTTTGAACCCCAGTAAGAAGTCAATCGGGCCAGTCTTGCCTGAACTAGGACCCTCGGTGAGGTAAACCAGAGGGAAAACTGGGCAAGACCATCTTGCCCAGTCTTGGCTGGAGCAGCTAAATTGGAAACGGTGGTGGCCGTAAGCAATGCATGGCCACGGTAGCTCTTGGTGTTTGGGACAGAACAGCAGCAAATCCCACCAGTGACCAGTGACGTGACTGACACTGGACCAGAGTGGGGGAGGCCCGCCGGGCTCTGATGCTGCCACGGTGCTGCCTTTCACAGGCGCTGTGCGCCCTCCATCCCTGCTTCTCCTCTCACAGGTGTTCCCTAAGCCTGCGGCCATCCGCGGTGTCTCCCCCTTTGTAGAGTTTGAATAAACACCATTTTATAGCTGACCTACTCTCCAGCCCCTTTTTCTTTACTATATTTTTATTGCTTTCAGAGAGAGGAAGGGAGAGGGAGGGAGAGAAACATCAATGATGAGAATCATTGATCGGCTGCCTTCTGCACGCCCCCTACTAAGAATCAAGCCTGAAACCCAGGCACGTGCCCTGATGGGGAACCAACCCTCGCTCTCCTGGATCCTAGGTTGATGCTCAACCGCTGAGCCATACTGGCAGGGCCCCAGCCCCTTTTCCGTAGTTTCTCTCATCTGTGGCCTGACATTGAAATGATTTAGCATGTCACTAAAATTACAGATTAAAAATGGGACTAGCTAAGTAGTGTTTGAGTAATAAACCTTTAAGTATAGATTAAATTTAGACAGCATATGTAAGTATCAAGGTTAAGTTATATTAGAAAGGAAAGAATTTTCAGTTTTCTGTGAAAATAGACTCTGGGATGTCTCTAATTTTTTTTTAAGTTTATACTAAAAAAATAATTAAAACATATCCTTGCTAATTGTATTGAATTTCACAGAGGAGAGAGTGAACTTGGCTTCCATCTGGTGACCTGAGACCCTGCCCTCTCTGGCCCTGTAATATTCTAGTTGCGCCAGAGTACTTTTAGACTGTGGTCCAGGATCAGACTAATAAACTTACCTCTAGGTGTGATGCTGATCGGAAACACGTGGCTCTCCGGGTTTCTCCAAGTGGCAGCTCTGGACACTCCTTGCTTCACTCTACTTCCTGTTTCCTTGATGTGTCTCTTTCCTATCCCAAAAGCCAGAGTGACAGTGGAGTGTGTGGTAAGTGTACCAACTAAGGCAGGGAACAGGTCCATCTCTGCCACCCTACATTGGATCCCCTTGCAAGTTACCTGGGGAAGTGGGGCCACTTCCTCTGGAGTCAATGCAATTTACCTCTTTGACCAAAAAACTTAGAGTGCCTGGCCGGTGTGGCTCAGCGGTTGAGCACTGACCTAGGATCCAGGAGACCGCAGTTTGATTTCCGGTCAAGGGTCAGGGCACATGCCCCGGGTGAGGGCACATGCCCGAGTTGCGGGCTCTATCCCCAGTTGGTGGCATGCAGGAGGAGGCAGCAGATCAATGCCAACTCTCTCATTATTGATGTTTCTCTTGCTTTCTTCTGCTCTCTGAAATCAATAAAGATATATTTTTTTAAAAAGCAAAAAGCTTAGAGTGAATGTGCCTCCCAGGCAGCCCTTTGCAAGTGTGAGTGTGGTCCAATCTCTGCACCTAGGAGCTCTGCCTGCCCAGCTGGGTGAGGCAGTCACAAACACGACCCGTGGGAACTGGGAGCTGGGAGCTGGGAGCTCGGCTTGAGCTGTAACCAGAGGCTCCTGACCCACTCTGCAAGGCCACAAATTCTTCATCAGACAGAATTGGAAAATAAAGTGCTTTATTGCTGAGGATCCCAGAGAGCTTCAAGGCAGCTGTCGCAGGGCTAGGAGTGAAATCCCCTACCTTGGGGAAGCTTTTGTGAACAGGGGTGGCGGGGACTTCAGCATTTCAACACCATAGAAGGTATGGAAGTGTGTTTTGGGGGTGAGGGGAGGTAGGAAGAGCCATGAAGTGCGCTGGAAGAGTAGACTGAATCTCTCCCCCACTCTGAGCTCAGTGCATTCAGTGACATCACCATGGGGGCCCAAAATGGGCCACTGTGGGAGCATTTACACCACAGAAATCGCCCAAATGCTACATTCAGGGCTTCCCTGTCCCCCTTTCCGGAGAACTGGTTTACCAGCACACCAAGGAAGCACCTCCTAAGCTGCGACAAGATGCCATCTCCCAGCCCTGCACATTCCTACAACCTGGACAGAACAGAGGTGGGCTGGACAAAGAAAGGGACTGGAACTGGGTGATCGTTTCCCCACACCGCCTGGAGCTGCCTTGGCTCGGCTGCCTCAGCCTCTCTGTCCACTGATAGCTTCAGCCCTAGACTAAAGCGGTGGCCACTGAAAGGCAGCTCAGAGCTGAGAATAAAACCCTTTGCTCAGTGGCTCCCAGCAGGCGGTGAGGCAAGAGGGCCTTGTGCAGCCACTCAGAGGTAACAGAGGGCTGGTCACCCAGGGCTGACAAAAAGCAGCTGTGGGTGGCTGAGATGAAGGGAATGGCCCTGGGGCTGGGGGTCTGAGTGATTCCCCATAGGTCCTGGGAACCAGGCTGTGTGTGGAGAGCGGAGAGCCTGGTGCGCACCTGTGTGACCCAGAGCAGGAGAGCCCAGCTCCAAGGGGGGGGGGAGGAGCGGCCAGGCTGGGACGCTGCCTCCTAGCAGGCAAGACGGGGAGGCCTCCACAGGCACAGATTTCCACTGCACCCCCAGGGACCTTGGGGCTGAGCTCCTTCCCCTCACCCCAACCTTCACCCCAACCCTACCCAGCACTTGGGTGCTGACCTGCCTGGGGCTCACAGACAGAAGGCATGTGGCACCAGACCAGACCGGCGCCACAGGCTGAAGCCTTGCACTCCCCCAGCCTGGGCAGGGGCAGGGG